CAAGTACAGGCTCGGCAGAGAATGGATTGAGAGCAGCCCTGAGGAAAAGGACTTGGGAGTGCTGGTGGATGAGAAGCTCAACATGAGCCGGCAATGTGTGCTGGCAGCCCAGAAAGCCAACCGTATCCTGGGCTGCATCAAAAGGAGCGTGGCCAGCAGGTCGACGGAAGTGATTCTCTCCCTCTACTCAGCTCTCGTGAGACCCCACCTAGAATACTGTGTTCAGCTCTGGAGTCCCCAACACAAGAAGGACATGGAGCTACTGGAACGAGTCCAGAGGAGGGCCACGAAGATGATCAGAGGGCTGGAGCACCTCTCCTATGAAGACAGGCTGAGAGAGTTGGGGCTGTTCAGCCTGGAGAAGAGAAGGCTCCGAGGTGATCTTATAGCAGCTTTCCAGTACCTAAAGGGGGCCTACAGGAAAGCTGGAGAGGGACTTTTTACAAGGGTGTGTAGTGATAGGACAAGGGGCAACGGATTTAAACTGAAAGAGGGGAGATTTAGGTTAGATATAAGAAAGAAATTCTTTACATTGAGGGTGGTGAGGTACTGGAACAGGTTGCCCAGAGAAGTTGTGGATACCCCATCCCTGGAAGTGTTCAAGGCCAGGTTAGATGAGGCTTTGGGCAACCTGGTGTAGTGGAGGATTTCCCTGCCCATGGCAGGGGGGGTGGAACTAGATGATCCCTGAGGGCCCTTCCAACCCTAACCATTCCATGATTCTACTGCACATCTAAATGTAAGAACTGCCTTGACCATCCACAGCTGCTGATTCATGTTAATTTCCATATTGCTTTGATAGATAATTGATACACAGCATATTATAGCTCTGAATATTTCAACTAATTGAATGCGTGTCTTTAGATTGGCAAATCAGGATATTTCACCAAGGTACTTTATTTCAAACAGGTCTGCAAATTATCAGACACTGCTGTTTCCATTGAGAAGACTTCCCAATGATGTAGACTTCTGTCACCCACTCAATATGATGTTGAACTTCAGCAGTAACATCCAGAGGTTATGAACTACTGCTACATTCATAACAGCTGTGTCTTCAGTTTGATGATGATGGACCACTTCCTTTCTCCACTCTAGCTAAATCAATGCAGTTATTGCCTAAGCTTTGCAAGTTGAATTTATGTTTTTGGGTTGAAAATCATAAGTTTGACAGTTAGCTCTGTTTACTGATGATTAATGACTAGTATTTGGACAAAGGTAAACAAAAATTTTTAATAAATTGGAAGAGAGTGAAAATTGCCTGGGGCCCATTACCAAAGAAAGGGTGCAATATATCTAGCTGGAATGTGCACTTCTAAAGCACTAAGCTCACCAATTAGAATACAGAAATGACAACAGCTACAGGCATTAAAGCTTGTGGCTTTGTTACTGTATGAGACAAATGTTTGAGAAAACTACATGGCTTGCCTTTGTATTGCTGCCTATAAACTCCGACTTGTGCCCACCTTCCTGGCTCTTGGAGTGTTTTCTTGACATTTATTATTAACTATAAAAGTTAAGAAAAATGAAAGTAGCAGCCGTATTGATTCAGCAAAGCAGCATGAGCATTTTTAATAACCCATGCCTTTTACCTGATTCAAATATATTCAATTTCTCTGAAGTTTGATTTCTTTAATTACACTACAAATCTAAACAGACTTTTTAAGTTACCAGATACTAATTATATTAGACAGACTGCCATTTATCTGCTTATAGCAATATTTATTTCTACTCCCATCGCTTAACATCAAAACAGTATTATTACCTCATAATCATTTACAGTGGGAAAAAATACTACTTTTCTGTGTAATTTTGTGTCTAGGTTAGTCCAGTTAAAAACATGAGACACTCTTTGCTTGGTTTGTATAATTAATATGTATAAATACTTTGCTTACCCTTAATTTCTAATTATGATAAACTGTACCTTCCATTTTTAGGCAAGCTTCTCTCTACACTAAAGCTGTCTAAATCTCTTCTGAGTTAGGAAGATAACTTCAGAAATTGAGAGAATTAGTAGATTGAGTCCCACTGAGAGAGGGATTTCATAGGGGAAAAAAGGAATAGAAGCCAGATGGAACTATTACAACCTTAATAAACAGAAGGATAGAAAATCTGTTGAAGTGAAAAAAAAAAAAAAAGAAAAAATGTAGAGGAAATCAAGGCATGGAAAAGAAAAGCTCTGAGTCAGGTTACACTCCCCTGACTCTGCAGAGGATACCTCCCATTGATGTCCTCTGCCTTCTCACACAAGCTTGCCTGGGAAAACTGAATCAGCCATAGTATCTCTCTCAGCATGGACATGTGATTATCATTCTTTCTTTTCATCACTTCAACTCCTCTGGGCTTGAGAGTTTCCTAGAAATATTATTAGTTGTTAAGCAACTGTGGAACTGGACTTCCAGAGGCTCCATTAAGGCAGTGGCTACTAGCACTCGGAGCACTTATGCCTTACTCCTTACAGATCTGGTACGTCACTTTTCCTAGAGTTTACCTCCTTGACCTACAATTTAAAAAAAAACTCTTGTGAAGAGATTGTCTCCTCGTGCAGATCTCTCCCCTCTCCTCTCCCATGTCTTTGTGAACATACTTCCCCTTACATGAAATCTGGCATGTAACTGTACTAGAAACCTAACGCTCAAGGTAAGAAGGCACACTTATAATATAAATCAGCTCTAACAAAGGAGTAGAACAAAAAAAAATGAATTACATCAACACATTAGGCACAGGGGAAGTGATGAGAAATCAAAGGATGCTCCCAGACACATACAGGAAGATATAGAAAAAAAAAGTCATCTATTAAATGGAAGAACATATCTCAGAAAATGATAAAAAGTAGGTTTGCTAGCCCCTGGGGAGAGGGAGAGAGATCTTGTATAATTTTGGGAGGATTATGTTTCACTAGAGACATTTGTGAATGTAATGAGGGGTAAGACACTGCCTAAATTTATCTATACAACTGATTGTGCTACACTTGATAAAATAATTGTGTCAGTCTCTTCTCTACTTAAAATAAACTTAACAACTCTGAAATGCAGTAAGTTATTAAGAACTAAATATCATCACATACTCTGTCACACTAGTCTCATTGTTTCAGAAACCTCAGAAGCACCTGACATTTACATTCTTCAGTTCTAACACTGGAATTGCAGAAATGTAATTAGGAAAACTCTGGTACTCATAACAGAAAAGGTCAGCAATGTGCAAGCTAAACCTGATAACATGCCTAATGTGCTGCCAAACATAACAGAATGCTTTCCTGATAATGAATGATTTTACAGACTGCCATGAAGTTGTTGCAAGATAATCAGATCAACAGGGAGCATGCCACTATGCAAAAGACACATAGGAGATGGTGAAATATTCTTTGATAGAGGTATATTGCAAAGCCACCACTGACAGAATAATTTACCATTATAAAAGGCCATGTTTTCAGAGATAATCACATAAATAAATTGGGCAGAAAACACAAAGGACACAAGTTTCAACATTCGGTCAGTGCAGAAGCCATTACCTCATTGAAGGTAGCGCGCTTTGTGCCTGCAGCCAATAACCAATACAACACCACCTCCGGGATGTAAAAGATTTTTTCTTTTTCTTTTCTTGTAGTAATCAATGTAAGTAGAGGTTAGAGGGTTTAGTTTTTCTGTTTCGCTTTAATGCAGAGATACTCACTCAGTAGTACAGGCTCTGTGTTCCTCATGCAAAGACCTCTTCCTTACTTGTGCCACTAATCCTACACAAACTAATAGTGAACTTTAAGAAAAATGAAAAGTAATCTAAGGGGTTCTTTTGATAAATAACATTTCATCAACAGTGGCAAAAAGTAGCTCATTACTGAAAGCTGAAAGTTGCACTTATTAAAAGTTTTCTGCCAAATACCTAAAGGCGGGCTAAACCATTAGTGAAAAATGTTTCTGAGACCTTACAAACATCAAAGAAACATATATTCATTATACTTGAATTCATCATGAGCAAATAAAATCTATATAGTTCCTATGTCTATTTACAGACTATAATTTGTATTAGATTGTTTCACTTTATTTTGTCATAGTTACAAGAAGTTGCATTTGTTTAATAACTAGAGGAAAAAAAGTACCATCAGGAACTAGAGTGGAACCTTCACCTCCATATTCACTTAGGTTAAAATTCAAATTATAGAACTCATAATCTTCCAGGAATTCTCACATGCATATCTGTATGATACGATATGAGAATAGAACATTACGTTTTGAGACTGCTAGATCCATAGTGCAAAGCTGTGTTAAATGCTAACTTTTTATTACAGTTTCTCCTTCGTCTGAATTATATCAATCTATTTAATGATCTATTTCATAAAAGCCAGCTAGTCTTTTCACGTGACACATATTGTTGCCTAACTAATTAAGGAAAACAAATCAACTGTAATTTAATGTGAAGCTTCTTATTTTTCGATTTTATTAGAAGAAATATCATGAATTTAGGACATGACATATTTTGGGAGGATTGACTGTTAATGATAGGTCAGATGATTATCAGCTAACTTGTATAAGATGCATTTTCTCAGTAGCAGGCTACAACTTGTGTGAAGAAAAGTATCTGATTTCCTGTCTTTGGTGGTCTATTAAAAATGAAACAAAAAACCTCAAACACCCATCTGTCTGGTTTGTCCATATTTCCCTTCCTATATCCTTTTGGAATCGGCTTTATCTAAACAGGGTGTGCCTGAGGCAAGTATTTATCAAACAGTACCGACATACTGCAAAATATTTTTACAGGTGCTTACTTTGCAAAAAGTTCACAACATAAGCAAATATGTTTTGTTTAAACTGTATGAAGAGAGGCGTGCCAATAAAAGGAAGTAAACATACTCCCCACAACTGGATAATAACATCAATAAAAGCACAATTATACTTCGAGCTTTTTCTTGCTATCCTTTAGGTAACGATCAGAAGCAATTGATTGTCTTTTCTTGAAATGCTACATATGCACAACATGCACCAAAAAGCTAACGAGAACACACTCACCATGTACTATCAGGACATATTCTGTGCTGTTTCGGCCAATAGGATTTTTTGCTTCACATCGGTATGTGCCATTGTCTGTTTTGTTTAGGAAACTGATGCTTAGGACCCTGCCATTGACAACCATTCTCTCTGGATCCGGTAGTTCTCCACCGTCCTTTGTCCACAGTACTGGTTCTGGCCTGTTGGATCCAAAGTAATGCATTTAATCAGATATATGAAGCATGTATATGCACCATGCACATCAGAAACAGTAGCTTCAGAAACTTATGAATAGTAACCTGCCATCCAAGAACATTCAATGATCATTTGAGTTACTGGATATAACAAACTGTGACTATTACAACCTCACCATCCTGGATGGGAACTACTAAAGAAAGTGGAAGAACAAGCAGGGAAAAGAAGGGAAACAAAAGAAGGAAAGAGAATGGTACGTGAATAGGGCAAGGTCTTTCCTAAATTAAAAAACTGTTATTGCAAGGTTTCATGGCCCACAGTTCGGCAAGATGCTTGGCAAGCTAAGTGAAATCAGCTTTCCGTTTGTGTGATGAGCAATATGGTCCTGTGTGGCTAACAGGCATCAGAAATCATGCAAGCAAGCTGAGGTAGATGTAAATGGTTTGTAAATGGAGTCTAAAATTATTAAGGCCATTCACATTCACAAGTGCACTTGCATGCGCTGAGTGTTTTTCCTGAACCAGGCATATCAGTCTCAAAGCAGCACATCTTACACACAATCTAAATTTGTTCCTCTTGCTGCATTGTGTCACGGCCCATCCCTTTTTCCACCCTTTCTGCCTCCTTCCCTCAAATAATTGCTTGTTACGCATGTTATCACAAGCAATGTAAGATTCAACTTAAAATCCTGGATTTCCTTCCTTTGTGAAACCTTTCCTCTTGTGCCTCATGAACTCACATCAAACAAGCCAAAGGCAAAGCACTGACAGTGATAACGCCCTCGGCAGGTTAAGGGCACCACAGAGAAGGAATTGACCATCTTGCAGATTTACATACACCTTCCCACTGGCAAGTGATACCTAACTCTTTCCTAAAGACTCTCAAGAAGCTCCACAGTTCATCAGATTTGCCTAACAGACAGCAGGATGTATTTATTACTGGTATGCAGTCTTACATGTAACAAGATCTACTTTGAAATTTACATGAGGGAAATCATCAAAAAAGACAGGTCCATGTCTGGAAATGAAAAGTCGGCTTACTGACCCCTGACTATCTCACAAACAGACAGAGCATCTCAGGTCCTTAAGATACTGGTCACTAAAGCAAGATATACACAGCCTAGGGATTCACTGCTACATTACTTGTATCTGGTAGCTTTGTACACTATAACCCAAATAGCAATCCCTTTTTTTTTAGGTTTTTTTTTAATACTTAAGTAATTTCAGTCAGGAGTTCTAGATTTGCATGTTTATTTGGTAGGAGCATGTTACATTATACTTTCCTACTGAAGTATGCAGCTGTATGACTAAGCAATAAAACAAAATATAAAGCGCTGTTATAAAATCAGGAGCTGCTAAATTAGTCACCAGTCTTACTCAAGAAATGCTTAATTTCATTAATTTAAGCAAGTGTTTAAAGCCTATTAAATATAACAAGTGTTAAGAATGAGAATTAAACCAAAATACCTAAGGAGAGACATTTTGCCAAAATATGGCCTCATGCACAGGGAGACTAAATGACTGCAAAGATGTGATACTCTTTTAAGTTAGGCAAGACATGTAAATAAAGCCAATTTTTCTGAAATGCACTTAACTGCTATATAATTTCTATTACTTTTTGAAGTATAAATACTATAACTTATGATTCTTCTGAAAGACAACAGAGATTTATACACATTTTCACAATATTTGGATGACTTCTTGTTAAATCATAGTTGAACTTGTTATCTAGACTGGCTATTCTCTGAAGTTATGTTTTTTTAGAAAACAAGACTCACACAATTTTAAACGAAGGATTAAGAACAATCAGTGTAATGTGCTTTATTTATACCTTACTGTAAATATGTCTTAATACTCTTCCTAAGTGCACTTTCAGAAACTGGTATCTAAATACACGACACACAATATACACACTTCCTTTCTGCTTAATGCGAGCAGGGAATCTAGATGTCCATGCTGTTGCAGAAACATTGCCCTACAGAGTTCACAACATTAAAGTGTGATTTGCTTTGATATGTTGGGGTGGATTTGTTCAATTTTCTAGCAAACTCCTCATTGTTCCCCATTTACCAGTTTACTGTGAATCTGTAATCCCAGGAGTGGAAACTCTGAAACACTTCTGCTACAGTGTGCACGATTACCTTCATAAATGGCATGTTAAAGCAACTTCTGTGCAGTGGTAATTTATGGAACTTACGTTTTAAATTGAAATTAGATGGCATATCCTAGGGGAAAACCCATAGGATAACAAATAAGTATGAAATGGAGCCTTAGACATAAATTATTCAGGGAGCTTTGTCGCATTGTAATATACCAACTCTACTCTTACACAGAGTGCTTAGCTATGGCTGCAAAGGAAGGTGGCAGAAAAATTATGTCTTAGAGAGGCAGATCTACATACTCTGGGTGTTGGGGAAGCTGCTAATTAACAGTCAATATTAAGCCATCCTGTGCTGGCTTAGTGGCAGCAGCAGAGCAATTCCTGGGCAGCCAGCTCATGGTCAACATATCATGGTGGCTGGGCACAGCTCTCTCTCTCTTCATCTCACTGCTCTCAGGGAGGACAGTGTCTAAAGCAGCAATTCTGTCACAGCAACAAAATTAAATTTTGCCTGCACTGCTGGGAAGCTTTGAGACATTCCAGTCTAAATAATTCATTAGTTAGGCAGAAGTGAGCTAAGAACATGAGACACGCTCACGCACCCAGACCAGCCCGCTGCTGTGGTCAGCGACAAGAGGAGCGGCTGTTTAAGGGAAGCATGCAAGTGTGGCCATTTTCTGTGGTCCATTCCCCCTGTACTCCGCCAGCATCCACAATCATTCTATCGGGGATGCTGGAGGGCACATCTCTTGTTCTCTTTTGTATCTACTTAGTATTTAGACCTGTTGCCTATGAATGTCTCTAATATCTTTTTGAATCTGCTTATACTGTCTGTCAACCCGGCCTCCTGTGGCAACGAATTCTGGAAGTTCCCTACCTGCTGTGCAAAAACGTATTTACTTTTATCTGTCTTACACTGATCTCTTAGCAGTGGCAATGAATATTGCAGGATATGTTAAGTAACGCTTCTGCATAATATAACCTTGTTATGACAGCCTTGTACTTAGTAGGCCTCTCTCCTTCCCTCTTTCTGTTTATTTGAATTTGATACTTTCTGAGATTACTAGCAGGGGGGAAAAATCACAAGAAAAAAAGTAAAGAAACTGAATTTAAAGCATATTGGCTATTCCTTAACAATTGCTTTAGTACCTTCATTGTCTAAAGCACAAATGCAGCTGAAACACTGATGGAGAAGCTTTCCTCTGTGACACAAGGCACAGAGAACTATGATTTCCCCATAGTTTATCCTACTGAAACAAGTTCATGGGTGCAGATCCAGACAGAGGTTCTTTCTCTTACTCAACATTTTGAACGGGTTCTGGTTCAACTGGGGTATATTCAGGTTTGACGTTCTAAAACAACCAGCAAATATGTACACTCCTAATATTGCACATTTTTCTCCACTGCATACATCTCTAATATTGCCAAATATCAGCTTTTCTTCACGTAGTAAAGAGTTGCCATAATGCTATCTACTACTGTGTGGACTGGACCAAACAGAGTATCCCTCTGCCTCGCACTTGTGCTGACTTCAAGTTAAATCACACTTACCAGTTTAATCCCAATTTTTCTCAGACAATCCTGAAAACTTCTTTCTTGCAGCACAATAGCTATAAAGTCAGAAAGAGCACCGTGGCCACTAATGGAATTGCTTGTTACTACCTTCACACATTTCATGGCACAAACAAGCTCACTGACCTACTCTGTCCTAACAGGAGCATGCAGCCTGCTAGTACCAATGCAGTCACCCAAAGAACAAGTCTGTTCTCTCTTCTTTTTTTCCCTTCCATCTTGGGTGAGAGGTGCTTCTCCATATCCCTGGTTTAATCCCTCCCATGTGGATGCGGTTAAGCAGAAATGAGCTAAATGAGCTATGCTACCACTGAGAGCCTTCACTGGGTTGAGGGAGGTAGCAGAGCTGAAGCACCAAGATGCTGTTTTCTTCCCCAAAACACAGCTCTGCTTCTGGCTTACCTATTCTAATTTGCTCCCAGTGTGACACCTTTTAAAACAAAAACAAACAAATTAAGCATGCTGTACTGAAGAAATTCTTTCAAAGAGATAGCTCAAATGTGACAGCCCATGCTATTTCTTTGGCTATTATGTATTGCTTTTAATGATTTAGCTTTGTATGCAGCTATCCACAGTGGCACTTTCAGGACTGCGTTAAACTGAAAGCCAGAGATACGAATCACAAGCACAATAAAAATCCTTAATTATGACCAATGACTTCTCCGCCAGCCCCCCAAAGGAAATTTGAACTCTATACTCTCTCTGAAGAACTGCTAAATGGGCTTAGATTTTCGTATAATTTATGTTTAATCCTAGTAGAAAAGCTCAAAAGCTTTCAGTAACTGACTTGCAAAAGGGAACCATTTTTTTAATATAAATAAATTATTTTCTTAACTATCTTCATGTTAGCCCCAAAATGTGACGTAAAAAGCAACAGAATTTGGTATTGTTTCCTAGACAAACTGAAATGGGGCTGCAATTGAGATACAAAAAAAAAAAAAAGATATTATGTTCCAGGATGATTCATGTTTTATACTGCAGAACAGGAGTTCTCTTGCAAGTAATTTAACAAAGAATTTGTAAATAAAGTGAAATTATTTTCTAATCCTGAGGCTAAGAAACCCTTTCTTCCAAAATAAGTCATCGAGAAAGCTAAGGGAAAACTGCAATGTGTTGGAAAAAAAAGTGTTTTAAAAATCACCGTCAGATTTGATTAGAAAAGAAAACTTAGGCACAGACTTACCTTTTCAACAAGCGTTTATGTAACATGAAAGTCCACAGTTAATATTTAAGACCACATTAGTATTTTTTATAGTCTAGGCTTTTAAAAGTTACACAGTAGTATTTTAAAACAAGTTCATTAATTTTCCATCCCTTTCTCCATCTTTCTCCA